CGCCGCAGTCAGTGGAGATCTATAGAAGCTACCATAGCTCAGAAGGAATTTTACAAAACATTCCACCTGACTTGACTTATCTCTCCTCGAATTTATAACAAGTACAATAATAAGTATTTGATGGGGTTCCAGCGATTCCAAGGTGGAGATCAGCTCGCTGTTGAACATTCGCGAATATTCCATCAGGTAGACTATACAATCGTTTCGTTCATGTGTATCGGGAGTATCATTATAAAGCGGTTTGCCATTTTTATAATCAGAATCACGAAAATAATAAGATAAAATGCCATATGGCCTAAGCATACTCCATTTCAACTTGCTTAAGGTAGTGTTCTTACGTTTCGAAATAGACAATGCTTTATGCGCTAATCTTGATTCCAAGAACGACTTTCTTGTAGGCATAATGCAGAAGTGCACATTTCCGTAATCATGCTTGGCAGCAAGGCTGTTTAAGAAGCGAGAATAAGAGGCAGTTTGCTCCTTTTGATATCGGATGGCTTCAAATGCATTTTGAAAAGTAGTAGGTGAAGGCCGTGGAAAGAGCAGTTGACAGAGACGCTTGTCCAGCCACGGCCATTGGTCAATGTGCTGATATATGATGCCAGAGAGTGGCAATGATGAAAATATGCACCTCCAACTTGGAAGACTTTGGCCGAGATTGATCAAGTCCCTATCTCCCAGATATTCGCATATTTTCAATTTTATATCAGGTGGCAGGTCGTTGCTTTTGGCTTGTGAACTGCGCTGTGCCTAAATTATTTAAAATGTTAACAATCGTGGGCGACATGCAAAATGACAAAATGAATTTGAGGAAAGATGAAATGAAATAACGAGCAAATGAAGAGACACAACGAGGAGTAAGTAAATTAGGAGGGCTAAGTAGAGGATTGCACAACCTACCATCATTGTAAGATGCCAGCGTGGATTGATCGCGTGACAGTGGTGCAGAGGTTTTAATAACTAGCGACTCGGGGAGGGCGTGGATTGACCTCACCTTGCTGTTAACACATTGTTATCCAGTCTGAACTGGCCTAATCACCACGCCTGTGTGATTGTCCCTTCTGCAAGACTTTACAACTCAATAGCCGAGCATGAGAATGTATATTCCTCCATGAACATTCGAATGTGGTAACGACGATGGTCTCACCACCACCGTCAGATTTACTGCTAGTTGACACGTATGTGATTTGAGTGCTAACCATTCCTCTGGCAGTTATTGTGTTGAGGATCTAGCCTTACTGCATTCAATTTGCCTCATTTGCCACATAAGCAGCCTTCGAGTGACTAAATGTTGCCCTGTGAAATGATTGTGTGCCCTGTGTGCGATACACTGCTGTATTGAGGAGTGGATGCCAAAAGAAGCCCTCTGTTAACTGCGGAAATGTAGATAATGTGTGGTCTCCACAGTTGAGGGCGACAGCGTAACAGAAATTTGGCAGAACATTTCAACAGTCTTCTGGTTGTGGATGGGTTTATGCCTACTCTGCAATGCACAACTTCCAGCTGTAGGTATGAAACACATCAAAAAATAAGTAGGTGAGGATGGTTGCAAACGACCTGTCTCATCAAGGTTCAAATATTAAGAGGGATATAATACTTTGGTGGTGTTCTAATGCACCAATCTTAATCGTTTTATCTCAATTCATTCATCACAAATATTTGGTGCTTCCACTCTTCCGTACTACGCTTATTGTGATAATGCAAAGTCATGAATCTATAACGGCTGAATGAAAAGGCCAACTCAGATTATCAATTTGAAGACTGACATTGCGTTTCCGAACTTGTGGTTCATTTTGTCTTCACCTTGACCTCTTCAATGGCCTAGGATTTACATTGCACAACATGTCCGAATAAGCCCGTGATTTAGACAGCAATGTGACAAACCGAAGAGGACACGGGCTATGTTTCAATAAAAATGCCTTTACTTGCCATTACAACCCCTATTCCAGTTAGCTATGCATTATTTTATCCACACACTGCTTTGGACCGAGTCACCCATATAGCAGGTCACCTTGTCCTACTCTGCAATACTTGCAAATTTCTCTCCACGTTGATGTATTGAATAGGGGTGAGGAAATGAGATGTCCATCTTATCATAGCACTGGAAGACCAACTGTATATTTTCGTGAAGGCATTCTACTCAAGAGGAAGTGGTGGATGCAACTTGAGTCAAACGTGCCGATGTTCCCAGGAAAACTCGCAGAATATTCGAATACTTTGAACATTGAACCAGTTTGAAGCAAACAAAATTTGTAGATGAGCATACAGTTATTGAAAGAAAACTCTGCTGGAGTTAATTTCAATAT